GGTGACGGAAGAACGCCAATGGCAAGTCTAGAAGATGCTTCATGTTCTGATCGATGCTGAAGCATTGATCAGAACATGAAGCAACTTCCGATCGACACTTTAGTATCGATTGAAAGATGCCGACAAGGACCTGCCCCTGTCAGCGTCTTCCGATCGATACTGAATGTGTCGATCGGATTACGGAATAAAACTTACACCCGCCTCATTAAGTCTCCCTTACACTCACTCCTGAGTGTAAGGGAACCTATTGAGGCGTGGAAGCGGACACAAACAAAAAAAAACAAAAAAGGGGGGTGGCGAAGGATGCGCCTCTGCGCTTAGCCTCACTGCGATCAATAGCGGGTGTCACGTGCGTTTCGAAACAACTGCGTACTGTAGCAGTCGTTCCGGGACCCATTATACCGACACCGGCCGATCTCTGGCAGCATGGCCAGGCAACAAGACCTTGCCTTGTTGCCTGGATATGCTGCCAGGGAGTTCCAAGGCAGTAGTTAGTCCTCGACTAATAGGAGACGAGCGGCTCGTCTCCTATTAGTCGAGGACTACTGCCCTCTCCCGCTTGCAGCAGCTGTCAGTAGCTCCAACTCCCCCAGGTCCAACGCCAGCACAGCGCGCGCCCTCCATCGCTCCTCCCCAATCCGCCCCAATCCGAATGGCCCAATCACAGAGCTCGGGGCGGGGCGCCGTAGATGCTGCCATGCGCCTGCATTTGAATTTCCGCCACAGCGCTATTGCTATGGTGCCCTACCATTATCTGAGATGGGCGACCCTCTGGGACCCCGCTGAAGGCTAACCTAGGCAGAAAGGTAAGAATTTATGCGAACAGAAAATTGTCGCCCGGTGAGAAAAGCCCGATCCACGCTACGATACGCGGTATGGATTCCAACCATGCTCATTTTGAACAATAACTTTTCATGGGTAACCCTATCGAAAGCTTTAAAAATTCAATACAAATTGCATCCACTCTCTTCCCTTCATCCAAGCACTTTGTCCAATGATTGAGCGACTGAATCATGGCAGTGACAGTCGATCTCCCTTTATGAAAACCATGCTGATTAGATGATATGACACCATATTTTTCCAGATGGTCTAGAATACGCTTTTTCAAAATTTTTCTCAAAAAGCCTTGAGAAAAGTGACGTTATGCTGACAGGCCTGAAATTTTGCGCACGTTGTGCGGAGGCTTTCTTGGGATAGGCGTTATGAAGGATTGCAACCTATCGATTTGGAACTTCCTCATTCATGAAGCTCAGGCTGAAAATGTATTCCAAGGGAGCATTATAAAATGAGAAACGTTTTTAATAAAGTAAAATCAGGTGTAAGAGAGTTTTATTGTAGCCATTTGAGGAGTAGCTTGAGAATTTCCTCACGATGGAACCACACCGAGTCATCCATAGTAGGGAACCTCTTTTCCAATGACAATGCACATCGTTCCTCATCAGGAGGGCAAAAGTGTTCTTGGAAAGTGGATGCCATCAGCTCAGCTTTGTCTCTATCTTCACTAACAGGAGTACCATTCACGGGAAAAGAAGCAGAAACTTTTGGTTTCTGCTTCAACCTCGACCTCAGGAGCTTGTAGAATGAATCCCGAGGTTTTTGTCCAATTATTGTCTAAATAGTCAGAGGGTCCTTAGTAGCGCCTCAGCTTTATTCCATGCCTGCTCAAACCTAAGCGTCAAATTAACAAGATACTGGGATAACCGATTAACCTGTGATGGTGGCTTCGATACAGTAGTGTCCCCTGTAACCAGGGAGAGCGCGTGTATTTCTGGCGAAGATCAGAGTCGAGTGGATTGGATCAATCTGCACGAACACAGGCGAATTTGACGATGAAAATAAGCCGGACGAGTAATATAAGACGTAGATAGTATAACAGCTTAATACTGTGCGCAGAGCATTCAAATAGGACGGCTTCAGTAGCCAGAGTAGAAGAAAAATTTCAGGAAGGCGATCTGGAGACAAAAAAAGTTGTCGTGACAGAGCGAATCATAACCTGCCGCTAGCGCGCGCACAGACACGTACCTCGGACACGTATGTGGCACAGCCTATGGGCCAGATGCGACGAAAGGGTCTTACGCAATCCAGGGTCGCTGAGTGTACTCAATATTTATCACATTAGTGTCACATTAATATTAATATTTATTCTGTTTGTATCTTGCGACTTACGAGATTGTTTGTTGGGATATTTATTATGGCCTAACGTTTCGACTGAATCGTCGTCTTCAGAGGCCTGAACGTGTTTCAACTTATTAGATTTACGCTCTGCCCCAGCGCCTCATCCTCTCTTGCGGTTCGGACATCTGTCAGGAACCGCTCGAAACGTAAAAGTTGACTGTTTTCGGTATAAGAGGACATTGCAGTGATCCTATCCAAATGACCAATACAGCGTGGAGTGGGTGAAACCGTTCGAAAGTCTACTTTTCACGCTGTTGCGAGAGAGAAAAAGCGTCAAAAATAGACTCACTGACCGTTTCACCCGCTGCCACGCTGGAACGCTGGTCATTTGGAAATGACGATTACTGCAATGTCTTTTTATACCGAAATTAATTGCCTCTTACGAATGGCTTAGAAATACAGACTTATACGGCAGCAATGTCAAAAGCTTGTAGAATTGCGTGAGTTAAGATTCCATACGAGTGATTTCATACGCATGTCTGAGATGGTAATGATAAGGAAGGTGAATTTGTCGTTATGCCGCAATCACTAGATCATGGAAATTACCGAAATTCACCTGCGGGACAAAACTGTTTATCGCCGTTTAGGAGGGTGTACCATATTCGA